GAGAGTAATAAGAAAAGAACAAGTCAAGAGGAAATATATCGCAAGGCAAAAAACAAGAAACACACAATAGGGAAGAAAAATATCACGTAATAGTAAAATAGACAATATCGAGGTTTTATTCAAAAAGGATGTCCGTCATTTCCCTTGACACATATGGTTTATTTTTGCTCTACTGTAGTAGAGGAGTTCATATGAAATAAAATAGTTTGTGTGTTTGTGTCAGGGTCAAAAAAACATCTAACATGAGAAAAAACACATAATACGTTATAAAACTTGACCGAAGGATTTTTGATGTCACAGAATCCGAATCTAAATTCTGATTATTCATTATTTTATATATTAGCACATTTAATCATTTCATAATTTGGCATAAATGACCGTTTTATCTCTTGGCACACACCACCATTTTATTTGCTAACATCGTTTTATTTAAATAGCATAATATTTAAAATTTAATTTGTTTGTGTCAAAATGCCGCAAACTTAAATATTTGAAATACTTCTTAATTATATATGCATCATTATTTTATTGAATAAATTAATATAATCGGACAATATTAATAACAAAAAATTGAACGTTCATATACACAGATTATTCTAGTGCTTTGAAAAAATGTTCGCCTGTTTTTATATAGCATAACGTTCATTATCATCGACAAATATTCTTAATGTATGTTTCAAGAAAAAATAATAACGTTGTGTCCAAACATCCTATATGATGACTCAATAAAATAAGACTCATGATAAGAAGCTTAAAAAACATATGCATTGTAATGTTGTTTTTCTGAAACCATGTTTTTTATAGAATTGATTTTATATAAAGTAGAAATTCAATTTGATTTCCCCTATTGAAAGTCAAAAATAATACTGATCGACTCTAGTTCACATCTAAATACAGTCACAACCACATGCAGAACGTGACAATCGAAGATTAAGTGAATCGAGTTTCGATGAACGTTACTTGTGTATAATATCACCGATTGTCGTATATCTCAAGAATTATCGAAAGACGAAATCACTTGTGATAATATCATTCGTTAATATTTATTTAAATATGTTAAAAAAGTTGAATATTGTGAAAATAAAATTGATAATCGAAAAAGAAAACATTATCCATTTTTCATGTATTTATTCTACAACTTAGTCCAATGTCATCTCGAATAGAATGTTATTCTACAATAGTGATACTGATGAATCAATATAAAACATGGGATTTATGTAAAGTATATAGCAAAAACAAAACAAAAGTTTATATACAATTTCAAAAATAGTATCTATTAAATATCTATAGAACCCTCAAGATAGTTTTCTTGTATTCGTCTACAACCTTATTTTGGTATTGTTCCTTTCTTTTATCTTCGAAAGGTTCTGAAGAGTGTATCTAAAAAATAGTCTTAAATTATTTCGATAATAGTTTGGATCAACTTCTATCACTTTTATTATTGTGTATGTTAGAGTAATAGATGAACTTCATGATCTATTGTATTAGAAATAAGAAGTCCCTTTCAAGTAATCGACGACGACGACGACGACGACTGACATAGCAACAATAAATGACGGAATTAGTTTGAATATGTACGTGATCGATACTGACAACAAGAGTAACGGTAAAAGGGTATACACTAGCTAATTTTAATAAATATATTCTTAAGATTAGTAGTTACACATAATAGCGGAGGGTGTACTTATTCTTATTAATTATATATGATAAATAACAACAATAATAGATGAAAATTGTTTTCAATGTTTAATGTGTTAGATATGAACAATATATAGTTACCTCTTGGTAAATTTCATCAACACTTGACTTACATAGCAGCATAAGTTTCTGAACGAAATCGATTACTTATGATCAATAAAAGTATATCTTAATATGATGGTATAATTACATAATTTGTTTCTCACACAAAGAAACAAAATAAATCATAAAAACAACGTGTAAAATGATTATAAAAAAATTGACTAATTATTAAATGCAAAAAACCTAATCTTCATCATTTTTATCAAAACGATAATAATTAGCAAAAAAATATGTCAATATTCATATGGAACACCATCAAATAATTTAGAAGATGGTGTGTGTGTGTGTCCTTATCGTTGTTTTTTTCTGTAAATGAACAGACCAACGATAAAAAGAATTATGAACAACGATGAGTATAGTGGCGTAACCAGGACCCTTAAAGTGGTTGGGCGAGCGATCACGTAATATTCGAAAACTAGTATATGTTCGAATATTACGTGATCGCTCGCTCAACCACTTTAAGGGTCCTGGTTACGCCACTAGATGAGTATCATCCATCATATTTATCTTTCTTCATGTGATATACAGAAGATAACAATTTTCTTCATTGTCAACTGTTAAGTGGTAGTTTGATCGATTCAAATAAATCAAAATTATAAAAATCGATTTCGATAAATCAAAAACTTTAATATACATTTAAAAATTCATTCTCATCAATCAAAATTTAAGTGGGTAGGTTAATAAACAACACTTCGTTAATCGGTTATTGTCTTCTACCTATGAATTACTCTCTATTTTTTTTTGTGTTTCTCTCTCTCTCTCTTAATTTCGATCGTCTCCTTCGTGTATAAATAGCCGATGATCTCAAGCAAAAAATATCATTTTCATTGTCGTCGTCGTCGTCGTCATCATTGAAGTTTATCGATTGTTATTGAAGACTTTTTTTCAACTGTTTTTTATTACAATAATTTGGTATGTATTTCTTTGAATTCTATGATTACTATTTTTTTGCAATGGTATTTATCCACCACATATTATATTATGCATATCAACGGCTGTTGGTATGAATCAATCTCTCGATTCAATAATTTGTGGTAATTGTACACTGCAGAGATGGGACCGGTTCGGTTCGAAACTTTTCGATTCGGTTCGGTTCGGTTCAGTTCGGTTCGAAACT